ATAATATATAAAATAACAATAAACGATAATACATAAATATCTTACCAAGATATGTCTTGATCCGTGTAACTAGTAGAGAATTAAATACTAGTACATATAACAGGACAAATCAATTCAAAGGATGGAGGATTCTTATTTTGACATAAATTAGATGATGTCCATTGCGCATGAATGTCATCTGTATATTTTATAAGTATCAAAAAATATTGAAATACTGTATTGAAAATATTAAATATCTGTAGCGTACTAACCTCAAATATAAATTGTCATATTGTCGATTGTCGATGCATTTTGGAACGCACCTTTTACTACAGGAAGAAGTCCTTTGATGCGTCATCTCACCCGTTCCACCCGGCTCAAGGACCCGTGTGGTTTTTCCACCCTCTCGGGTAGATAGAGTGACAATGTGAACGTTCCACCTAACGTCCGGCAGGAGCACCCTAAAAGGAATCTGAACGCTTTTTGGGTGACTGGGTGCACCCGGGTGGGGAATCTGAACGCAGCCTAGTCCGTCAATAGCAAGGGTATCTTATAAGTTTTCCCGTCTATATCGATTGACTACATGTATCGTTCGTGCGAGATATACAATCGACCGTTCATTATGAGTACGGTATCCACGTTTCGCAAGGTGCACAGATCCATCTCGACGTCTTTCGCAGTCGCCGTCGTCGTCGTTGTCGTCGTTGTCGTCGTTGTCGTCGGTGTCGTCGTTGTGATAGTCGTTGGTGTCGTCGTCGTTGCTAGTTTTGGAAATTTAGCGTTTTTTTTAGCATCGTACAGGTCTTGAATAAAAAGAACGTCCTCTAGACTGAGTTGAACGGGGAATTGATTAACAGGCACGTACGCGTACATCACCGAATCTTCGCGGAAGCTGTGCGCCAAGCCTAAAGCGTGACCGATTTCGTGCATCAGCGTCTAAAGTAAATTGTACGTTCCCGGGGGATTCTTATTCAGCTGTATGTGCCACGTCTCCGATTTGTCAACGTGCACCTCCAAAACGTAATTGGGTTCTCCGGTGAGAAAGAACGCGTAAGCGACATCTTTGTGGGGGCCGTCGAACGGAGCTGCACACAGTTCGTTTTCTTGGGAGTGTAACATCGTGTGACGCTCCTCGCAAAACGATATCAGAATATCGGGATTCAGCGAATCGCGCTCGAACGTCAATGACGAATTCGCTGCTCACAGATCGAACGCGGCTCGGGCCGTTTTTAAGATCCGCTCGTTGGCCAGATAAAAGTTCCATTTGAGATGTTTCTTCGGCCATTTGTTCGAAAGCGGAGCGAACGTGCGCTCCAAAATGTCCTCGACGCCGTATCGCGGTTTACGCATTCGATTCAGCGTTTCTTTGTTTAATTCGCCGTTGCCGGATAGTCGATAGAAATTTTGAAACAGTAAGATGGCTCGATGTAACTCCTGCGTAGTGTTGTAGGATGATGAAAATCGCTGTACACTGTTGTTGTTGCTGTTATCCAGATAGCCGTATTTTTGCAGATAACTGATTACAGTCTCATTTTGATTCGAATTACAATTTACCGCCACGACGATAATAATCGCGCACGTAATTACGCGCACGAACGACATTCTCGAGAGGGAACGATACGTTTCCCCTCGACCCCTCGAAACGCGATAACCGTCACCGCGCGACCAAATGAAGCGCGATTGGCCGACGCGACGTAGCGAGCGTTCCTTTTTTTTCTCCGATCGCCGCCGATCGCGACGCGGGTGGGAGGTCTCGGTAAAGGTGTCATTCGTGAGACGCTGAAAATGAGCGTCGACAAGGCAAACGTGACGATTTTGCTTTGACGTTAGCGCCAACGATAAAGTTGCATTTGTATAATATTCAGCATCGTCCCAGTACAATAAAACATAGACTTCAAAATATGTAAAAAATTATTATTAACTAATAATATTTTATGAATACATTATAAATATACATAAAAAAATGTTTACATGTCTTATAATAAACTTATATATCTATTAGCCCTTTGTCAGACAACGTTACTTGGAATCTTCAAAACATTATTAAGAAGTACATATTCGCAATATATATTTAAACGCAGCGTAATATCTTCAAGTAATAATATTTCATGGACACATATATATAATTACGAGATATTAATTCTGAAGATTCGGAAATTGATATTGCGACGAGGGTGAGAGGTCATTCGGAAATTGATATCACGACGCAAATAAAAAGTTTATTATGTAAACACATTAATTTACATGTCTTATAATAATAAACTTATATATCTATTAACCCTCCGTCAGACAACGTTATTTGGGATCTTTAAAACAAAACATTAAAAAGTACATATTCGCAATATATATTTAAACGCAGCGTAATATCTTTAAGTAGTAATATTTCATGGATACATATATATAATACAAGATATTTGTTAATGCAAGCACAAGTGTCAGTAAGAGTTAAGGAGAAAGCACTCACTTAGTTTTCTTAATATAATACAAGTTTAATCAACAATAAAATCCAACGATACACAAATAAAGAAAGTTTCAAACTGATGGGAAGAAGCGGTCACGAGACCGTTCGCAATATAGAGCGAGAAATACAATAGATCAGAACGCGAGCAGCAACTCACACGAGGCCGCGTGGATAATCGAAACGCGAAAGCAGTGGAAATATCGCGCCCGTGATGTAAGACTTGCTAGGCAAAGGAAGCACTTTGCACAATTCAAAGGACCCCGGGCCCAGCCATAGGAAAAATGGATCCCGGTCAAATTGGTTGAAACTGCAGTATGTTGTACTTCATAATCTCCTGATCAAAAGTGTTAATGGGCACAAAGTCCGGAACCATCTACTTTTCGAGTTATCAGACGTTGAACATGGTAAAAATGAGGATATTGGGGATATTCTATTTTAGAGTATCCACGGCAATAATTTTTTAGGGTCGCATTTTTGTGTGTGTGTGTGTGTGTGTGTGTGTGTGTGTGCGCGTGTGCGTGTGCGTGTGCGTGTGCGTGTGTGTGTGCGCGCGCGCGCGTGTGAATGTAGGTGCCCAGCAAACACAGATTGTATCTACAATATAACGTAGAAGTAACAAGTAATATAACGGATTGTTATGCCCGAGCAATATAGAGATTACCTAACATTGTTTCATATTTACAATATGACAAATTATATATCCATTATATTTCTGCGTTATTAACTGGTGACAACATAATAACAGCAATATAACCGTGACGTTTATATGTTTTATTGCAATGTCATGTAACGTTACTTTAATATTATATAATATAATAATATTAATAATTATTTAAATGTTTTTTTATAACTGCCAGTGCTGTGTTTGTGAAAAAATCGTGGAAAATTGAAATTAAAAGAAGAATTTGTGCAACTAATGTGATATAAAGGTAATTGTACATTGTTTAAATTTTATCTATTTACAAATTGATCATTATTATATATATTTATTAATTAAGTTGTAAATAATAACAGTATTACACAATCGAGAACAATCGATAAGAAAAGGAAAGAAATTTTAATTTTCGTAATGATGATGCGACCATCAGTATGTGAGTTTTCATGATTGTCATGAGATACGGGCCCAAACAATATGTATATGCGCCATAAACGTACGATTTCCCGCGGTTTGCCGGCGGCGCCGGCGGCGGCCATTTCCTCTCGGATTCCGCGTCATGCAGCGTCTTCGAGCCATATTCATCAAAGGTAATCCTTCATTTCTAACAACATTTCTTGAAAACATTGAAAATACGTAACGTTATAAAGAAAAAGTAATACTCGTGTATATAGTTTTAATCACATTTTTCTACTTATTGCAAGAATTGTATATGAAGACTGAAGTATAGGTTATGGTTTACGGCAAATACTGCAAACATAATTAATTCTCCCTCGGATCCCGTGTTAGGGCTCGGGCATTCCGTAGCACAGTAGGTCGTGCACACAGAGCGGTTCCGTCGCGACAGACCGTGCACACGAGCGGTTTCGACCGCGCGGGACAAGCCGCTCATGATGTACACGGTCTGTCGCGGCGGAACCGCGCGGTCGAAACCGCTCATGTGTGGTCTACCGCGCGGTCTAAATGTGCACGGTCTCGGGTCTACCGCGCGGCGAAACCGCGCGGTCCAAGCTGTTTATGTGCCCGAGGTCTATGCATGTCTTCGACTTAACGTTCCATTACTACAAGATAATGATCCTTTATTTCTAACAAAATTATATATATGTATAAACGTTATAAAAAAATAATACTTATTGTGTATATTTTTCTACTTATTGCAGTTATCGTACATAAAGACTGAAGTAAATTATATTACTTCACTGCAAATATTATTCTCTTTTGGATCCCGAGTTGTGCTGCAGCCTCTTAGAGCCAACGTTTTTATTTATCTGCAAAGGTAATCCTTTATTTTCAGCGACAAAAGGACACGTTAGGGGTGTCAGATTTAGGCCCAATTTCACAATTGTCGGTTAACTTTTAATCTTAGATTAACTCACTCTTCGTCTCCTTCTAACATTCTCCTTAGAAAGAGACGAAGAGTGAGTTAATTTAAGATCAAAAGTTAACCGACACTTGTGAAACTGGGCCTTAAGCCGGGATTCACTTGAGAGTCAGTTGGTGGGGAACACACACGCAAGAGAACGCACATAGTTGCGAGCACAAATACCTGCTGTCTCTTTTGTTCGTGTCCTCTACCAGCCGACTCTCGGCTTAAATATGACACCCCTGCAGTACGGTTGTTGTATAAATAAAAAATTTTACACATACATATATTTTGTCTGTAATATTTTTTTTACATAAACATTTGTCGCGTTTTTTTTCGTTTTTTTAATTAATGTTTATGTGTTATACTTAATTATTCACTGAAAAATGTTTATGTAAAAAAAATATTGCAGAAAAAATATATGTATGTGTAAAATTTTTTCTTTTCTGATATTATCAAAGTTGAACATTTATGTAACAAAATACCATTGTCATTTTTTCTACAGTTTTTATTTTATTTTCTAAATACTTAGCGATAACAAGAAATTAAAAAATACATTAAAATATATATTGGCTAAAATTGGATTTAAAATTTGACATAAAATTGAAATTGATCATTATGTACTTAATAAAGTACTTTAATTTCTGAGATGATTGTACGCGTTTGCCTACATTTCAATTAGTCACAAAATAATACGATATATTTATCTATACCACCAGGAACATTGCACTTTAGCGATTTAAGTAAATTAGATTTATCGGGTATTATAATAAATGATGGTGGTCGAGGGACCTGAGAAAATTGAATTGACTCATTTTTAGGCTAACATATTCATGAATTTTTTTTTATTATTTTTAGATATACTCCGCCATCATGCCTAAGAAAATGCGATATTTATCGAAAAGGCGAGTGAATCAATTGATTAAACGCGAAATTCATAGTTGCAGACATTTAAATTCATTACATTTTCGTAAACCAAACATCGCATCTAATGCGGTTGCAGAAGCGATATTGACTCTTACAAATGTCGATAATATTTCTCGTCCAGGTTCTACATTATCTGAAAGTACAAATTGTTATGACGAATTACCGATGCAGATATTAGAAACGGAAATTAGTGAACAGTATAACGTAACATCTCAAGATAATATGTTACCATTGATGAACATATTGCCTTGTAATAAAAAGAGTTTATGGAAAGATTTACAAACGTTAATAATAGAACGTAATGTTCCGCATAATACTGCCAATGAGTTGCTAAACATTTTGAAACAGCATGGTCACGTCGAGTTACCTAGTGATGTAAGAGTTTTGCTACATACACCAAGAAATGCGTCTGTACATATAAAACCTGTAGGCAATGGTCGCTATGTTCACTTTAGTCTTTCCTCGTCTCTAGAACGGTCCATAAAAATGTATTCTACTTTTATAAAAAGTAACGATATAAGATTGAATATAAATATTGATGGCTTACCGATTTCAAAAAGTTCGGGTAGTCAATTCTGGCCCATTATGGCATCCATAGAAGGAATAGATGTTTATACATTGCCATTTATAATTGGGGTATATCATGGTATGTCTAAACCTATTGATGCTAATGAATTTATGAATGATTTTGTAAATGAATTGATCCTCCTGTTTCAAAATGGGATAACTGTGCGTAATGTAAAATATACTGTTGGGATTAATGCAATATTATGCGATGCACCAGCTAAATCATTTATAACGTATACAAAGGGGCACACAGGATATTTTTCATGCTCTAAATGCATACAAGAAGGTGATTTTGTGCGTAATAGGGTAATCTTTCGAGAAATTCATAACATATTACGAACAAACGAGTCATTTAAAAATCGACTTCAAGTGGAGCATCACACAGGTGACTCCATATTAGAAAAACTTCTTATTGGAATGGTGTCACAAATTCCTTTGGACTACATGCATCTTATTTGTTTAGGTGTTGTAAAAAGAATACTACAGTTATGGCTTAAAGGTAATAAAAATGTAAGACTGTCAACTGATAATATTAACGCAATTTCGGATTATTTACTCGCAATCAAGGCATGTATACCATCGGAATTTGCAAGAAAACCCAGACATTTACGTGACGTAGACAGGTGGAA